AGGGGATGGCGGTGGGGTGTAGTGTAGGGGGGTAAGGGGTAGGGGTGGGGTGTAGGGTAGGGGGTTAAGGGGAATGGAATTTGGGTAGGGGTTGGTCTAGGATTGATACATGTATCTTTAGATTCAAACAAAATCATATCAATGTCATGAAAAGTTCCAATACCTTGTAGTTCACTGTGTAGACTATGGAGTATATACTATTCTGTTAATTTAGGGGATTATAATAACATGTACAGTTAAGAGATCTGAAAACTTATTACTTTCTACACCTTATGTGTAAATACAAATTTTAGGCAGAATGCTAAAAGTATAGGATTATTTCCTTATTGTTGGCTGGTAGAAAAGTTTGTACTGAAGTTCTCCAGATGATTATTAAGAATGTCCTTATAATACATATGGAATTCTACTGCTGACTTGAGACAAATGATTCAGATGTACATGATTCTATTTATCTCTCCTGATGTTTTAGTATTATAAAAAATTTGAGATTCTATTCATCTTTCCTGATGTTTTGGTATTATAACAAATGTGAGATTCTGTTCTTCTTTCCTGTTGTTTGGGTGTTATATTATTATGGGATGTCTGGTGATGTCTGTATATTACAGAAACCATCAGTTAACTTGGAGCTCGTTGCTGCCAAGGAGGAGATCGAGAAGCTGACTGAGAAAAATCAATTTTACAAAAAGGCTCTATATGACACGGAGATAAAACTCAGTGATGCATACAAGGAGATCGCTGAGCTTCGTGTTTTGGTGGACAAGATTGAGAGTTCAGTAGTCGAAAAGCAGGTGTGTTATTTATAAATCTGTAAAGGTACTCTAATATATTCATTATGTACTTAATTTTAGCAACAGTAAAGTTTTTATCCTTTTAGGGCCAATAGCAAAAAAAATACACATCTAACAGCAGAAAGTGATTTTCATTTTCTAAAACAAAATCAACTTTCTGGTCTTTCTTGAGATAATGGTGGCTGTAATTGGATTGTAATTACTAATTAATTTTTTAAGTTATTTGTTTGCAAAGATTTTAGTTTGTTCGTGTTATGTTTTTTCATCGTGACAAATTTTTATTCCCACAAATGTCTTGTCTATTGGGCTGTTATATGTATATTTTCTCAGAAATTTCAATCAAAATCACAATCTTAGGTGACATGAGTATAGGTAAAAAATGTTAAACCTAACAATGACTTTTTACTATGTTTTGGGGAGTTATTTAACTCTGATTACACTCTCTGTATATCTACAAGTCACCTGTTCAACCCCCTCCTTCCCCTGAGCTAGTGGAGGAGGAAGAGGAAGTTGTGGAAGAGGAGGTTGAGGTGGCGGTACCAGAGGACGTACCAGCAGAAGCACCCAAGGTAAGGGGGATAACTCTTGGCAGACTGGTTTTGCTCATTTATCTACTGGTTCAATATTGATTGAGATTTGTCCATGATTTGTACTATTCTATCAGCGGCTAATGGGCGATTGAAGTATAGATTATGTTCATTTTCTGCTTTGACAACATATAAAGATATAAGTAAGGAAGTTGAAGTATCTCCTGTCACACACTTATAGTCTTTTGATCAGGTTTAAATTAGAGTACAATAAAACCTAGTTATACTGTCATCTTTAAAACATATTGAGGAACTATTAAGAATAAAGGAAAAAGGTATCTTGAAAGACCCCCTGGTATGTTGACAGTAAGCAAGGGGGCAATGAAATGAGGGGCAATATATCATGGTTTTACTGTACAGGCAAACATATTTTAACAAATAAAAGGGAGGTAACTACTGCAAGCCTATAGTTATTTATTTGGAAATTTTAGACTGTTGTTCAGATGAAGAAGGGGTCCATTGAGGAGCCACCCAAAGTTAAGCCAAAGCAGGCCCCCCCAAAACCAAAGCCAGTCCGCAAACACGTGGCTAGGAAACCTCCTACGAAGGTAACAGTTGATTTAGTGTATCAAACTGATGGTCTATATTAGATTGCGTCTTGATGTTTTTAGATATTTAACAAAGAGAGAAGTTTACCATATTGTATAATTAATAGTAATCTGGAATGATTGGAATTTTTTTTTAGAAGAAATAGGAAATGGTATTTAAGGGGCTGAATTTGTATTGAGTTATTTTTATGCTCTGACCAAAAAAGTATAACGGTAATACGAGATATATATATATATATATATTTAAAGGCTTGATTTTCCTTCTGTACTCTTTATCAGCAGTGTTTGACTGGTGGTTTCCACCTATCACAGAAATAAAACATCTCCAAAACCTACCTTTGGACAGTATAACGAATTATGAACTGATTTCTTGCAACAAGGTTATAATGAGGTTTGATAGAATCTTCAACCTCCTTGGAAATGAGAAAGGGGAATTATCTACAGTTGGCAAACACCAGGCTTGTTGAGTGTGAAATTGTTATGTTATCCGTACCTACACTCCACTGTCTTGACAGTTTCTGATTGATGGCATCAAAATAAGTCAGGGTTATGTGTAATCTAATTCTTTCCCTTTTAGAAAAGCACCCTGCCTCCGATTCGTCAGAAGAACCCTCCTCCACCCATGCCCGACTTGGATGAGATAGCTCGCTCTGAGCGGGAACAGGTCCTGTGGACGGTTGGAGAGCTGCAGTCCATGGTAAACAATCCTGTAATTAGTGTCACCTGTTTTGTATGACCATTTCTTCTGCCTGTAAAGCAGAACCTCTCTTGTTTGACCATTCTTTCTGTCTGTAAACAGTAAACAGTAAAACAAGGGCTTGTGTTCATGAAACAGTTCTCATGCTCAAACCTAGATTCTATGCTCAAACCAGTTTCTTCTAACTTGCAAAAATCATGTGATACAGTCTAAAAGTAAAGTGTGAAAATTGAAAGGGATGTTCAGCTGTAAGTTTCCTCAAAATTCTTCAAAATCATTGACAAAATGAGATTTTGTTATCACCAAAACAATAAGTCAGGCTTGAGCATAGAAAATGAGTTTGAGCTTGAGAACC